TCAAGACCATCGGTTCCACCTACATGGCGGCCTCCGGTCTCAATGACTCCACCTATGACAAGGAGGGCCGTTCCCATATTACCGCACTGGCCGACTACGCCATGAGACTAAGGGAGCAGATGAAATACATCAACGAGCATTCCTTCAACAACTTCCAGATGAAGATAGGTGAGAGAAAACTACAAAAAAGATTCAAATGTTTTATGGTAAACTAGCAGTTTTGTTCATGCAATGTTTTCGTGTTTAATTTCCAGGTCTGAATATTGGACCAGTGGTAGCTGGGGTTATTGGTGCACGGAAGCCTCAATATGATATTTGGGGAAACACAGTCAATGTGGCCAGTCGTATGGACAGCACAGGCGTACCTGACCGCATACAGGTGGGTTTTCGTGTGAATAAAATTAAAAATTCATCCTGTTTCAACGTTTTTTTTTCAAGTCAAGCTGTCAAAAGTTTTGTGTCGTTTCAGAATTAAAATAAATATTTCAGCAACAATACTTATCAGTGGCCACCTTATTAGGTACACTTGTGCAATGTAAAGCATTTCAGTACAGCAGCTCTGCAAGACTTTACATTATACTGAGATGGGACAATATTAGAAACACCTCTGAATATAATGCAGTTCAGTACAACACCATCACTATGACCTCAGTGCTAAAACATATAACTTAATGGCATTATAAAAGTAGACAGTATTGGACTGCATTAGACTGTACAGGTGTACCAAATGAAGTGGCCACCTAGTTTATACTGAATACCTCAATGGATCGATGTGTATGTAAAGGGTAATAGATGGAGATTTTTATTGTGATTGTTTTGCATTGTGTGGCTAAATATTTCATATAAATAATATAAATATGCCCTTTTCCGCTCACAGGTGACTACAGACCTCCACCAGGTGCTTGCAAGCAAAGGGTACGTGCTGGAGTGTCGCGGGGTGGTTAAGGTCAAAGGTAAAGGGGAAATGACAACCTACTTCCTGAACGATGGACCGCCCAACAGTTAGCAGCCATGGCAGCCGCAGATGCCGGGATGAGCCCGACTGCAAGGACACAGCACCACTGAGCGAGGACTCACAGTGCGAGCGAATGGCTAAAAACTAGAGACGCCATCACTTGAATCCCAAGCAAAGAGGAAAAAACTTTTAAGACTTCAAAAGGAAAGTGTTCTTGATGAGAGGAAAATGTTCTCGTTTGACAGCCATTTTGGCCCACGTACATGTCGAAGGACAAGTGTTTTTCTCATGTCTAGCCTCTCTCTCAGGCTTCTTGAAAGATGCAAAGTCTGTTTATTTAAAACAACGCCTTTTAGCCTGTGTCAAAAGAAGATTAACGCTGTACATAAGGCTACTTTTTATTTTACTTTGTGTTTTGTTTAGTTTTTCTTCGGTAATTTTTTATTTCACATGAATTATGAACAGGTACTCATATTTTGTTTCTGGATTAATTATTTATTTTGATCTCAATGTTTTGTGCAAAAGGTCCTTTATGAAAAAGTGTGAATACATACGTGCACAAATATCCAGTTTATTACACGTTCATAAGTGTGTATGTACATGCATATTTGTGTGTGTATGAATATATGTATAAACTGAGGAGGAATATATTGACCAAAGACTAAAGTATTTACTAAAAGCAAGGCAAGACATGTTTGAAATGTTCTCGCTAAAGTCAGCAATGATCACCGCCTCTGTTTTGTAGGCAGGAGGCCTGAACCCTCTTGTCTTTTTTGCCCAACTGCTGGCTGCTTCATTTTCATAAAATATGTAAAATTTATTTATTTTGTCTGTCGTTCAGGCAGCAAAGAGCTGATCACTTTTACTCTAAATTATTATATTGCCCTCAACCTCTAAACAAAATCACTAAAGACGACTAAGGATGTTAATAGAAGGTGATATCTGAAATTTATATTTTTATCTCCGCTCTCTGAGGAGTAGAAGTAGCTCCAGGTGGGATCGTCCTCATTTCATGTCAGATTGGTTCCTCAGAGCTTGAGCAGCCAGTGTGCAGCTGGTTTCAGCCGTAACGGTATATTGTCATCGACTGCTCCTTCCCTTTCAGAGAAGCTTTTTTTTTTTTTTATTCTTTTTTTTTTGTTGTTGGTGCAAATGGAAATGAAGGAACTTAGATCAGCTAGTTGTTCCAGAGCCATCAGGGGGGAAAACCTCGGATTTCAAAGCAGTGGAACCACACAGCCTGATTCTTCTATGAAGAAGAAATAGATGAAGGAAAGAAATATATATTGATTTTGACTGAATACTGTGCTTTGTAATCCTGAAGGGGCATAACTATTTTCACTGTGAGGTTTTTATGATACAACAAAACTGCTTTCTTGCCAAACATAACCGCTTTGAAGCATGTCTGATTGTGGTATCTTGTTTTCATTTTTGTTTGTTTTAACGTAGGGTATTTTGTATCACTTCTGTATCCATCATTTGTATATTCTTAATGTTGTTATTATTATTATGATGATTCTGATTAATTATTATGCTTATTATGATGATTCCATTCCAATGAAAAGGATCAAAGACCAGCACGCTTTCTTGTAAAATGCCAGTTGTAAAGCTCAAGCTCACTGGTACCAACTGATCAACTGCAGCCAATGAATTCTGCTGTTCAGTCCTGATGTACAATACAGTATTTCAACTGGCGATAGGTGTGATCATGTATAGTAAGTAATAACCATTAGCTGCCTTTTGCAGCAGAGCCCGAGTGGTGTATGCTCACATAAGCATAGCAGTAAACACACACATATACAGATGATTCACTGTGCTTTTTTTTTTTATTTATGCCACTACTGCAGTATTGTAAATCTCAGTCAGGCTTTAAGGTGACCTCTCCTTTCCACACGTTAACTTCTCAGTACTAACAAATGACATTTACACTATGTGAAGGCAGAATTAATAGACCTACACGTATATTTCTTGTATTATTTTACCCCCTTCCCCCACTCAGTATAGAAGCATAAAGTGGAAGTACTAATAACTGAGTTTGCCTTAAGTTAATACAAAACAAATCATAGAATAACACTGAACAGGAACTGTGCCTGCTTGCCCTGTCTGGACTGCTGATGTTTGGACGGAGAGGGAGATGGATAAGGGCTCGTCGACAATAATTTTCAGTAAACGTTCTCATCACTGCAGTGATCTTGGTTTTCTCCAGCTTCAACTTTTGTAATTGGGAGAATCAGCCCTGATTTAGCTCTTCCGTCACACTCAACAACGGCAACCAACAGTTGATCATGTTTGTACCAAAGCCAGCTCACGCAGCCTTGTGCTATTGGTCCCTCCTGTGCAATGATATTTGGCCTCGGGCGTGGTGGCGGTGGTGGTGGGAGCACCAGAGGACAGTAATGTAGTGGAGATCACCAACTATCAAGTGAACTGTGACCAATGAAGAGTGATTCATATAAGCAAAGAGTTTATAGAATGGACATGAGTTTATAAAAATGTGCATTGTATGTATTCTATTTCTATTGGCTGTCCATAGACTTGTGTTGATTGTTAACTCTTGGGATGTTTTGGGGGGAACAGGAGAGGGGAGGAAGGTTGTCCCCATACTACTGAAACAGTGTTTTGCTCAGGCCTGATGAATCCTTACGTATATTTGTTTTTGTTTTATTTGTATTTTTCCCTGAGTTGGAGGAGTTGAAAAGGGGAGTGTTTTGCAAAAGTTGAAGGACAAGAAGAGTTGAGGACTATGACAAAGAGAAAAATAACATTTCCCCTTGAAGAAAAAATAAAAAAAAATCAATGGCTGTTTTGTGTGTTCATATATTTACTTGTGTTGTTGAACGTACTGAAAACGAGTTCTTCCTGTGGCCCGTCATACTTGATAACCACATCTAGATTATTGTACATTTTAAAAGCATCCATTGAGATTCTGTGTGTGCTGATATATTATAATACTGACTGTATCTGATGACACTGTAGCACCACTATTACCTGTTACGACACTATGAGCCAGCAAACAAAGATATTCTCAACGGTAGACGACAGTAACTGTAAGAAACATAAAAAACAGATGCATTGCTGTTCATCAGTTCATTTTCTGACGGGTTAGGAATATGTCACCACCGTGTTGGGACCACTACCCAATGTTATGGAAAGCACTGAGACCAAACAGTCTCAGTCCAACCTTTAGCACTGATGTACACGTGCCACACTGCACCATCTACAGGCAGGTTATGGTAAGTAACAGCCTCGGTGACAGGAAGTTTCACACGTGTGCCTCCTACAGGTAATTATTGCCCCTTTGGTTCTGAGGTGTGTTCGAACACTTGGTTGTAGATATTAAGAGTTGTGACTGTTAGTTTTGTTTCTGTTTGAAGCAGAAAGCTCAGGATTGATTAGTTTCCTTCACTGCAGCACTTCGATCATCTCCTCCTGCCACGTGTCGAAGTATCCTTGAGCAAGATACTGAACCCCAAATAGCTCCCGATGCATGTTAGTTTCTGTTCG